TCTCAGCTCTGCCAATCAGAGGTTTCCAGCTGTTGTGGGAAACCAAGCTTCCTTTATAGAATAAAGGTTGCCATGGAGACCAGAGCTATAAGACTAGCCAACACTCTCAGACAGGTGGACACAGTAACACATGCACAGACAGTCCCCCACTCCCTATTCAACCTAGTGTTTCCCTTTAAACACAATATTAACACATTTGCTAACTAACATAGCCTATGTCACCTATATAAACATACACTTTCATATCATTTCATTGAGAACTTCGCGTCCTCACGCGTGAGTTTACCTCATTACCGGTCAGTCTCCACGATGACGCACCATATAGCTAAGGAAACTATATGTAGTAATGCATTCCCTTGTCTTTAGGAATATCCGCGTTTCCGTAATGTCACCATGTGCGTGTTTGGGACAGAGCAACGCGCATGTTTTGTTACATTAATAATCGCGCCTGTCACAAAATAAACATCTTCGCGCCACCGTCGCGCTCACAGCGAGAGCCGAAAGACTTGCGCCAACGCGCCACTGCATTGCTCATCATTGCCTACTATCAAACAGCAGAGGATATTAGTTTAAAAACATACTTTATTGGCATGTCATGACAAGGCTGCATAATTTTAAAAAAAAAAAATGTTTAGTTTATATTGTATATTAAAATCAAGACTTTATTAACATGACTGGCATTTTATTACAATTAATATATATATATTAATGCAGTCACTGGCGAGCGCGAGGCTGCTGTCGTCTCCCCATAATAATCACCCAGCGCATCAGACGCTCATACATGCCGTCAGTCAACAGCCACTTATGATCGATCCCTCATCAGTATTCCATAGTCAATGGGCACTACATTTATGGTTCGTCCTGTGTTACAGCGACACATTCACGTTTCACAATATATGCATGTCAAACGGGAAATTTTCTTTCATACACCTATACGAACGAATATGCTAGTGTAGCTTATTTATAAATTATTATATTTAAAAGTCTATCGCTTTTATTCAACAAAATAATGTATGTGTCTGTGATATTTAATAATGACAATCTACAGCTAGTAACATATGTCGGAATATAGGTGAGCATAATCTATGTACCTATGGAGTGTATGTGTGCGCGCGCTCGTGTGTGTGAATGCGAGTGACCTATCGCGAGCCCAATGAATGGCAGCGATGAGGTTAATAAAAATTCCTTCAATAGAAAACACAAACCCTCGTGAAATGCGGCGCGGCGCAGGGGAATACTATGCAAATTTTGGCTGTGAAGCCAGACGCGCGCACTCACCGGGAGGCGCCGAGCTCCGCTGCTGCAGCTGTTGGTGCTGCGCTCCTCAGGGTTCTCGCGACTGGATCACAGAACGGTCGGTGACATGCAACATCCTAAAAGCAGAGGTGTCTGTGTGAAAAAAAACACAACTATGTATGAATGTCGGAGGTTTTGGTCATCTCGGTCCTCTTCTGTCTTGCGACGCCAAACAGGCTGTTCAGCATCTGCTTTTTTTGTTTGTTTTTTTTGTTTTTAAAAAGAAAAAGAAAACAGAAAAAACCGCACAAAAATATTTGCAGAGAGAACAAGGGAAAACTCGCGTGTTGTTGTCACCACGTCGGATAAAAAAACCTGAAATTGTAGTAACAGAGTACCGCAGTTTGTCACAGGAGCGCCCCGGGAGTGCAGCGAGCGCGAGAAATTGGAATGAGCGCCGTTCTGCGCCGTTTCTCGCCCTCTGCAAACCAACTCGGAGGAATCTAGTCAGAGAGGGCTGTAGACGTGCCTTGTCGACGGGGGCATCCGGGCCTCCGTAGATTCTTGTGTCTAGATTTTTTTCCTCCTCTGGAGGACTCTGGGTACTGAAGTTCTGCTCATCGTGACTTCATTCATTCTCTCGTCTGCTCGTTCCTCGCGTCCCCCTGCTCTGCATCTCTCTCTCTCTCTCTCATTCAGCTCAGCTCCAACAATTAACTGTTCCAATTATACACTTATTTTCACATAGCTATGAGAAGCGTTAAACATGGACGCGCGTGCAGTTGCCGTACTGTATTAAAGCTTTAATCAGGATAAAACCGTATATTAAAAGCTAACATAAGCAGTAGAATTTACAAATAACAGCATATCTAAAAGTATAGACAACAACAAACAAAAAACATAGGCCTACCATTAAAGGTGGGGTAAGCGATTTTTCAAAAAACGCTTTAGAAAACTGATTCGGGCCACTAGCAAAACAAACTTGTAGCCAATCAGCAGTAAGGGGCGTGTCTACTCATGATGTGGAGGAGAGAGCATTCAGTGCACAGGACGGACATTAGCGGAGCAACAGAAAGATAGAGATGGCGGATAAAAAACAAAAGAGGAAAACGTCTGCGGAACAAAAGAAGGCTTAAAGGGTTAGTTCACCTCAAAATGAAAATTAGGCTGTGTTTTACTCACCCCCCATGCATCCTAGGTGTATATGACTTTCTTCTTTCAGACGAATCCAGTCGGAGTTATATAAAAAATTGTCTTTGATCTTTCAAGCTCTATCATTGTACTCAGCGGGTGTTGCATTCTTTCTGTTCAAAAGACGTGAAATAAAAAGCACCCTTCCACAAAAAAAAGTGTCTCACACGGCTCCGGGGGGTGAACAAAGGCCTCCTGTAGCGAATCGATGCGTTTTTGTAAGAAAAATATCCATATTCAAAACGTAATAATCACTTGAATCTAGCTTGCGCCAACAGCTGTACACAGAAGCAGTTCCGGGAGCATGACCTATGGGGTCAGCGTTACGCATGCGCCGGTGAGTCTCCTGAAAACCAACGTTTGTTTACAGGATCAAAAGAAGCAAAGTTTCCTTACTTTAGCAAAGGAAAACCAGTCTCCTCATGGCTTATATCGAAATCCTCCGACATTCTTCTTTACAAATCCTCGTTTTGTACTTCTAATTCTTGACCGTTGTTTTGTTT